CCTGCATGCCTTTGGAAAGGTGTGGGGAGGTGACAGGGGCTGCTGCTATTTGATGGCCCAGCAGGGAACATTTGCTGCTCATAGCCATGTCTAGGGCTGTGCAGAAGCCACAGCAATGCCCACATCTCCCTAGCATTAAAAGATCCATGATCCCCTGACTCTGACTCCCTGTTTGACACATCTGGGAAGGAGATGATTCCTATGCAAGGCAGAGAAAGCAGCAATGGAACGGGCTAAAACATGAGAGGTAAGGAAGATGTAGGGGTTTTGCAAAGTGTAGACTGGCTTTCTGTAGTCCCCTTTGGTTTGGCAAAAGGCTCTGTTTTATAGGATAAGTAAAAGAAAGATAAGCTTCTAGGAAACTATTCTTTTTCAGAATCTGTGGCATTCTCAGTCATTCCTATGCTGAGTGGAGGGACAAATAGCTTGAAGAACACCCTCTTTTGACTTTGCCCTGCTAGACAGCACCCTTGTGTTTGCATTTAAATCCACTTTTTCAATTGAGGGGTGCTCTAGCAACAAAATGAGGTACCTCTCTGAGGGATTTTCTGAAGTACATCCCCTAAGCCAGGGCTGAAGTGAAAGGATTTGTGTGTTTGAATGTGGAGCTCTATGTCTATTTGTGTGAAAAAAGGTGTGAATATTAGCATGTACCTCCATTGCTTTTCCAAGTTTACAGAGTGAAGGCTACTAAAAGTATTGGAAACATGTGAATTTGAGCTGGTAATCATGTGATTCCTGTTTTCCATATCTTTTGAAAAAAAATTTAAAAATTTGATTGTATAACTGAAAGACATAAAAGGTCTTTTATTCCTTCTTAGCAAGGGCTGCCTGTGACCTTTATCCTTGCAGCTACTTAGTGTATGCACTGGACAGTAGAAGAAAGGGGTACACAAACAAGAGATGGGAATATTCAATACCCAGGTAAAAGGGATAGAGGTGACAGATGTAACAGAAGCCAACTGTTGCATAACTTTTGTCTTGCAGAGATGTGGGGAGAACAAAAGAAGGAGGGCCATGAATGAGCACTTATGTTTTTGTACCTAAAATGATGAATGCATCAGAAGAAGAAAAAAACCATTGCTTTGGATGGCATTCTTGAAGTATTGGAAAGGTAAGTGAAGAGGAACAAGGTGACCAAACTGCCAAACCTGTAAAAACAGCACCATTATGCACTTGTTAATTATTATTATTTTTTTAATGTCTAGTCTGGTTTGGCTGAGGCACCCTTATGCTGTGGTCTGCAATTCTTGCTGTCCCTGGAAAACATAGTCCCACACTCCACAACCTTCAAGGTTCCTGAGGACTTTTCATGTATTTAAAATGAATGAAAACTTTTGGTGAAGAGCAACAGAGCATGCAAACACCGTTTTTGTTTCTTTTCTACTGCTTTGTCTGTTCCCACAAATTTTATGCATCCTGTCAGCCTTCCATGAGAAACTGAATGGTATTTCCACCTCTGCTCAGCACTGGTGCAGCCCATCTGCAGCACTAGGTCCAGTTCTGGGCTCACCAGTACAAGGCTGACATGAGAATACCAGAGTCCAGTGAAGGACAACAGAGGGAATTGAGAGATTGGAGCACCTCTCATATTGGAGTCACTGAGACAGCTTGAAAAGAAAAAAGCTCAAGTAAGATATTATTAATGTGTATAAATTCCTCATGTGAGGGAGTGAAGAATACAGTCAGACTCTTCATGCTGCCCGGTGAGAGGACAAGAGGCAGTGCACACCATCTGTAGTACAGAAAATTCCATTTAAATGAAAGGAAAACCCCTTTGGTACTGTAAATGTGACTGAACACTGACACAGGCTGCCCAGAGAGGTCATGGAGTCTCCATTCTTTGAGATATCAAAATCCCGTCTGAACACAGTCCTGGGTAATCTCCTGACCCTGCTTTGAGCACGGGGGTGGGACTAGTCAATATGCAAATGTGATTTTCCACCTCAATCATTCCATGATCCGTGATTCACTTGAATAATCTGTTCTTATTTCTTGCAGTTATCACTTGGTACTACAATATATTCAGGTTGGAGTGCACTTCTCACCTTCTACTCCTCACATTTCTGTGAACCAGAGTTATAATTCATATAATCAAACTTTTAGAACACCTACTTTAAAGAGACAAAACCCAACACTTGACAGCTAGTAAAACCCATTATTTCCAAAGTAACAATACTCATAACTAAAAATGTCTTATTCAAAAATAAAAATAAGTTTTTAAATTAAATATTTATTTATTTTGTGTCAGGGGAAATCAGCTGTAGCAGAAGATGTCAGAATTAAATTACCAGGTTTCCCATTGTTTTCTTCTTAATTGAAATTATGGGATCTTTACGGTGTTTCATTTTTATATAATTTTATGGGTCTTAGAGTAATAGGCCCTGAGTTTGCTTAATGACAACAGGCACTATAATAATCCAAATAATAGAGCGAATTACAGAAGAAAGATTTCATGGTGCCTTAATCTGAGAGGCACTACTTTTAACCCTTTGGTGAGTGTATAACATGCTTTTCCTAACTCTGCATTACATGGTAGGATAATTGCAGTGCTTTGAGCCTAAAAGTGTACTTTGTTCTTCATTTCATGCACATCTCCCTTCATTCTGCAGCCTCTGAAGTGAAAAGCATGCCCAAACAAAAGCAAGGGAAGAAAGACATGGAAACCAAAGTGAATCAATTATTGCCTTCAGCCTTGAGAAATTAATATATTTAACTTGTACCTTTACAAGTGCTGAGGTGATTTCACTTTTCTCTGAATACTGAAAGAACATTGAAAGCAGATTGACAGAACATCATAAAGGAGGGACCTGGCGCACATATTGTTCAAAAAGTTAAAGAGCGGCAAATTGCAGAAAAGAAGCAGTCAAGATATTCTGAGTACAGGGACCATGTTTTCCTAAGACATATTTTAAAAATTTAGAAGATTATTTGGATATAGAATAAGAGATTTGTTGTGAAAATTGTTGCAATGGCCAAAGAGATTCAATGGGCAGATTGACCTTGGAGGGAGCTTCTCCATTGTGTTGAGAAAGTCAAAGGAGTCATCAACCAGAAGCTCAGAACAGAATTCAATTTACATTGATAAATAGCTTGTGCAGGTGCAGAAGGGCATTTCTAAGGTAATGAGCTAAAATTATTAATGGAATATGTTTTGGAGAAAGTCTTGACAGGGAATAAAAAGCAGTCACACAGGAAAAGCAGAGAAATTTAGCTGCTTGGGAAGTTTATGCTGCAACTGGACAAAGAGCTGGGATCTGTGATAGAGTGTTCTGTTTCAATTACAAAGATGAGCCAAAAGAGCTTCTAGCCTTTCCCATCTTTGTGTTTTATGAGTACAGGTGTTACAGGCATGCAAAGTAGCATATCTTAATTGTCATCTCCAAATCAGACCAGTTCCACTTGTGTTTGGTTTAGCATACTGTATTTTGATGAAGTTTTCATCTGATTTCCCTTGAGGACAGAAGTAGCATTTCCACTCACCCAAGAAGTCAAGCTCTTATACTGTTTAATTTACTATGGGTGTAGAGAATTTAAAGTGTGAATTAAAACAATGGAAACATCTTTGTGGCACAGCACAGAAGAGCAAATCTAGAACAGTACAAATAGCTGTTGACTGCCAGACCTTTACTCATACTCCAGTAAACTTTGCTCTGGGAAGAAGGAGCTGCACAAAGAGCTGCTGGAGCCTACAAACTTCAAAGCAAATGACATGGAAGTGCAAATCAATAGAGAAACCACATGAAACTTTTCAAGGGTATTTGATGCCTTCATGTGTTCATTTTGAAATGTTACCTTACAAATTCCCACTAACCCTATCTTTCTTGAACTCACCAGCTATTTCCTGAAAAAAAAAAAAACAACCTAGCAGCTCCTAGGGAATCATCGTTTTAGTGCTTGGGGAATATGAAAGCGTCACTTGAGCTTCATTTTTCAGTATCATGCTTTGTGGAGAAAAGGTGCAAAACTTCCCCCTATTGCCTGCATTATTCCAGTGCAGTCCTGCTGAATCCCTCCTCCAGAACTGGGCTGGTGGAGACAGAAGTCATATACGATCTATTGCATTATTTTGCTGAAACATACTTTTTTTTTTTTTTTTTTCAAGAAATATTCACCTTGCATTTACACATCAGTAACATTCTTGGTAAATTGTTGGAATTTTATTTTTGCTATTACTTGTTCTGGTTGGTACCCTAAAGTAGACACAGGGGTCTTCAGACTGGATGCCAGGTGGTGCTTGTCTGTTCTCTAGCTTTGTACTTTGCTAAAAGTTGAAAATGGTGTTGTTTCACACCAGTCAGTAATGATGAGACATGGTTTGTTGAAGCTGCAATACTTTCATGTAGTTCAGATCTTGGAGTACTTAGTGAAATCACCTGAAGGAAAAAGATTTCTACTTCTTATTACAGAATAATTTCTTTCCTGTGATATATTAGCTGATATACAGTTGTAATGCATTTGCTCGACAGTTCTGATATGTAATACCTTTTAATAAAATATTTTAATCATCTTGAAATTGCCAAATAAAGTATATTATACTGTGACTTTACTACTTTAGAAGAGCATCATGCAAAGACTGTTGAACTCCTGCAAGGCTCCACTGACTTTAATGAATTTTGGATCAGGCCCATATTCCCTGATGTGAAAGTCTCAGGGAAAGTGCTATAAGGCCTCTCTAATAGCACCCTTTCATCTGTTAAAATGCAAGAAAAATGCATTGCTCTTAAGTGTTTTTGATAAAATATATCTCACAATGTTTTCATGGTGTTGTAAGTAGGAGAAAAAGCAAGTGTTTTAGAGCATTGGTTAGAAAAATGCACTGTAAGGTTTAAAATCTTTTAAAATACAATGTATATATTGCTTTCTAAAGTTTAGAACTTGTGGAGTAAGGCTTCACATCTGAAAGTCACTTTTATCTTCATTTGGTCATGTAGAGACATTCACATTTTTCTATGTCCAAAGCGTGTACACAGTTGTTTAATTAGAACAAACAACAGAAATCTTACTTAAAAATGTTTATTGTAAAAAAGTGGCTAGAAAACAACATCAATTTCACTTCACACTTTGTTCAAGTTATCTATAGATGCTGCTATGGGCAACAATTTGCTTTCATTCAAAACACATTCAATCATATAAAAATAAAAATATTTACATTATGTCAACATATTTTACAAAATCATCAATAAAAAAGGCACTTGGAGGGGTAATGCTGAAAATATTGCATTTCCTTTGTGCATTTAAAAAAAATAATTGTAAAACTCCCGTGGATCCCCTCTCTTGCACTTATTCCCGTTTTTTAAAACAAAAATGAAGTTTAGAGGAACTATTCCATATTAAAGTATGGTCAAGCATGCACCAGGAATGTTTGAAGCTACAGTATTGTCTTTCTTTCTTTATTCATTTTTTTAAGGCACATGCAGTTAATTTGTGGCTTTTAATTTTTTTCGTACATTCTCTTATACTTTTTTCCCTCTTTTAGTTATGCAGTTTTAAAGCATTTCAGGTCATTAATGAAGGCCTTGGCTTCTAATAAAATAATAAAAACACAGCAATGAATAATATTAAACATTTACTAAGGTAAACTTGGAATACTTTTTAAGGCACCTGAGATAAATGGTGTCTAGCAAAATTCACTTGGGTAGTATTTTCATTAAAATTTCCACTTAAAATACTGTTTCTTTGGTTGAAATGGCTTGGCAGGAATGTATTGTTAACTTTGAAGCCTTTTCTAAGCAAGAAAAGACGACCTACATTTGGCTTCATCTATAAAGAAAGCTGATAATGCTTCTTCCTTTAGATCTACTTGAAATGTCATGCATGGCGTCTTTCCCCCTATTTCAGAATTCACACTTAAGAATGTAAATGTATGGCAGAACAGAAACTACTTAAAGCTCATTTCTACTGACATTCTAAGTTCTTCCACTTGTTTATTTGTTTGCTTGTTTGGTGGTGTTTTGGTTTCTTTGTTTTTTGGTTTGTTGTTGTTTTTTTTTGTTTTTTTTTTTTTTTATTTTTGGCTGAAAGGTAGACGAGAAAACGCCTTTGGATTCCCACTTATCATTTGGAACAGAAGTGGAGAAATGCATCAAGTCCAGGTAAACATTGACTGCATGACTCAGTGTGCTACACAGCAGCCAGATTCCTCATGTTTGTGCAGAAGAGACATTCTGGAGAAAGTTTTGGAGCAATTTTTGCACTGGTATTTCTTCACATCTGAGTGGGTCTGCAGATGAGCCCTCAGATTGGATCTGTCTGCAAAAGCCCTGTTGCAGTGGGGACAGGAAAATGGCTTCTCTCCTACAAAGGAAACATCAAGAGAAAATAGGATAAATATAAAAAAAAAAAAGAAAAAAGAAAAAAAGAAAAAATATATCTTTGGGACAGGTAAAACCTGCTTTCATCCTAAGAGAAAAAGAACAAATAACTTGTTATAAGGAAAAAAAAAGTCTAATAAAAAGTTAATCAGGCCACAGATACAGCTGCTTTCAGCACTGCTGACTCTTTCGCAGAGCCCCAGTCTATTGAGAATATGTTGTAAAGCGCAGTCTCTGAAAACAAGCTGCTGACACTGTCTGCATCTACAGGTGCATGCAGTACCTTTAAACTGGGCTCAATGCAAAATTTTCAAATATTTTCATAGAACATTTTCTGCTTAGTCTGTGTGAATTACTGGGGAACAAGAGCTTTGTAGAAAAGCAGCAAACAGCTGTACAGACATTGCCTTGTACCCGGTGTTATACTCAAAACCCATTTTTGCCACAATAGAAAAAACCCAACCACGTTGCTGCTGATGGGTTTCTAATTCTTAAGGACTTGAGGTAGTGCATGCAAAACTTGCCAGCTGCTTAAGGAGTCAGAAAGCAGCCCCTCATGCATTGCCTGTTTTTTGCTGCCTGATTTCAGAGTCAGCTGGAGCCTTCTCAAAGTTAACAATTTCCAAAGCCTTAAAGTTAACATAAAATCCTTCAAGCAAAAGCTTCAGCTAGTGGAAATGGTCTAAACCATTGTAAAATTATCAAGGAAGCAATGCTGATTTATGCCAGTATCTGGCCTGCAGTTATGGGACCATGCTAAACCCCCCCCCACACCCACCTTCCCCCTCTCCCTGCAAGAGGGAGAATTTAGCCTTTTAATGACTCATTTAAAATTCTGTGGATGCATTTCAAGGTAAGTTAAGAAACTCTGCTGGTTTTATCACCTGTGGAGAAAAATAGCAAAAAGGCATCCCGATGTTGTAGCAACAAGAAACTGCAAATGTAACGCTTGCTCTTACCAGTGTGAGTTCTGATGTGTCCTTGAAGTAGCCAGGGTCTAGAGAAAGCCTTGCCGCAGATCTTGCAGACACAAGGTAGCGTGTGGGTCCTGATGTGCATCTTAAGCGCTCCCAGGCTGACATACTCCTTGTCACAGTACTTGCAGCTGAAGGATTTCCTAGACTGGGCATCACAGTGCAGCTGCTTGTGTTTGGCCAACCCAGAGAAAGTCGAATAGGTCTTGTTGCACAAACTGCACTGGAACTTTTCGGCTTCGATCGCATGAGGGTCTGAAAGCTTTGACTGGATTCTCTCTTCTTCATCACTAATGGGGCTTTCTGAACCGCTGTGATCTTTGGAGGAGGTGTCGGAAGGTGGAGGTGGGCTGACTCTTCCCAAAGATGAGGGGTATCCAGAAAGCGGAGAGAGGTCATTGGGTAATGGAGACGGTAGCAGCCCAGTTGTAGTCCACACAGTAATGGGATTGTAAGCTACTGAGCTCAGGATCTCTGGCTGTGGTATGATAGGGACTGGATAGCTTTCATACAGGTATGGGGATATAATCACTGGAGAGAGAAGAACATTTTAAGATAAGAGAACCAAAACGCTTTTCAAAAAGCAGCAAAATTAGCGCTTTGAGGATTAAAAGCTGCACAAATGAAACACTCAGCAGGGTAATCTGAATACAAGGGGCATTCAGGAAATACTGTTTCATAGATATATTCTGACGGGTAGAGACAGTGCCCTTGAACAGGCAAGTTGCAGCTGGAGAGTCCCTTCAAGGCGGCATGCTGCTTCTCAATCTGTGCAGCCTGACACAATGAAGCAGTGAAACTTCCTGAAGGATTTGAATAAAAGTTTCAATTTCACCACCAACAGATAGAGAACAGGAAAACTCCAAACGCTTTCTAAGTAACTCGAGTTCAAGTGGACGAGCAAACTTTCACGATTCATTCTGGTCAGCACTGACATATTTCTCAAAACTCCCTCCTTGTAAGCGGGAGAAAACAGAGCAAGCAATGATCTAACCCGTCCCCTGCAGCCTGCAGAGCAATCCCACCCCTCCTCGGTACTGCCACGCAACGACCGCGGCCCCAGAGGCGACGCGGTGGCCCCAGATTTCCTTTCGTTACCTGTGTGAGTGTCCAGCTCGCTGTAATTCGGCTTCTTGGATGAATTGAAATGCTTCTTGACCAGGAAGGAGCGTGGCATTTTGGACGCAGGCTTTGTGCTCCTCGCAGACTCTGTGTCCTTTGGGGCTGTGGCGGTCCCGGGTGGCGCAGCGCGGGCACTCGCGGTGTCACTGCGGGCGCATCCGTGCCGCTCCTGCTCCCTACGGCGCTGCCGGCCCCGCGCAGCCCATCCACTCCCGCTTGTGCAGTGGCAGTGCCGAGGCGCCTTGAAAAGTGCTGTAAATACCCACGAGTCAGGTGCAGGGGGGAAGGGTTTTCCGCTCCTCCAATCGCTTCGGGATGTTCTCAAGCACTTTTCCAATGAGGCTGTTTTTCTGGGAGGGCTCTGGGGCTGCTGGCTCAGGGATCCAATCCCACTCGGAGGGTTTGGTTCAGGTTTCAGCTCCTCCCGCTGGAGACAGCTGTGAACGGGGGAGAGAGCTCTAGCAGAGCGCGTTACCCTGCTCCGAAGTGGGGGGATGTGGCTCTGTAGAACTGCAGCCTACAAAAATGTATTGCTCAAAATTCTTGAAAATAAAGGTCAGTTTACTGATTCAGCTGAAATATATATTATTTTTCCTTTCTGACAGAGACTTGGATAGTCATAGGCACTGAAACTTCTTTTCATTCTTCTTCCTACCCTTTTTTGCCCCTTCCCCCCCTTTCCCCCTCTTTTCTTTTTCCTCTCTTTTTTTTTTTTTTAATTCTTTTTTCTCTTTTTGTTTTTTTTTTAAATGAATCTGGTTTCCAGATGTTTGATATGAGAATTACAGTGGGACAAACTGTGCACTAAGAGCAGAAGGGGTAAAAACACACACACACACACACACACACACACACACACACGACACTACAAGATACCAAGTTGGCCGGCAGACTCAATGGAAGACTTTGAACTGAATGTGTGCCTGCTCCATTGGGGAGCTGCCTTTGAATAGTTGTGCTTAGGAGAGGCTGGAGACGAGCAGCCTTCCTCCTTAACCTGCACCCTTTCAGGCAGAGGGACCAGACAGATACTGCAAGTGAGTTCAAGGAGAGGGAGAAGCCTTGGGAGGATTATATTTCAGAGCAGGGTGATAGTCTTTATATAATATGCATACTGCTTCAGACTGCTCATATGAAGAATATTTTCTCTTTTACTTTAAAAATCTGCAGAATGCAAAACCTCGACCTTTCCTTCCTTGGGAGTAGTTATGTCACTCTTTTGCCTATCCTCTTAGGACACTGCCAAGGAAATTTTCCTAATTATCCAAAGCAGTTAAAAGATGCATAGATAAGCAAACCCCCCAAAATTATAGACTGGGTAATCTAAATGTCTCTTAAATGCCCTTCTCCATTAGTATATTTTAGGACCTCTTGATTTCCTATGAAGGTATAATTTATGTTATGCATTTCATTTAAGATGAAAGTCTCTTAAATGTGCCACAGAGTGTTCTGGTTATCTGGATTGATTTAGAGGAGATATTTAGTCACAGATAGGTTTTTTAATTTTAAAACATTTGCATTTTGGAAATATGGACAGCTGAGTGCTGGTAAATTTCTAACACAAATTACACTCTGATTGACTCTTGGTCTGCCCTCCCCACCCCTTCCCCCCCTCGCTGTGTATTACCTCCACCTGCCTGGGCACATACCGGCATGCCGTGCTGGTGTGACGCTGGAGCTCTCTCTCCTCTTGGGAGGAGGCGTGGAGGGTGTTTTACAGAGACCACCCCAGCCCGTTTTTGCAGCAGGTGTTGGAATAGATTGAAGGAAAAGAAAAAAAAAAAAAAAGCTCAATGGGTGTGTTAAGACATGCAAGAGCAAAGTGCTTTGTCAAGCTGCATGACTTCTTAATCTTGGGGAATACCAAAACAAGTGCAGGGAAAGTTAGCTATTTTCAAGAACTGATTAAAAAATTTCATCTTTTCGTACTCTAACTTTTGTGTCTGTTAGTGAAAGGTGCCATATGAATTTCCAAGTGGCAGGGAACATACCCAGGCTATGGGAGGAAAGGGAAAGTGATAAAGAAAGGGACTTTGCAGCTTACTTGCTTTGCAGCTGGGGCAAAAGGAACAGAGGTGTTTTTTCCAGAAGAGAGAGTGGTGCTTGCAGAGACACAATCTGTTACTTTCCTCATCTCCACAGAAATGAAGAAATCCACAAAGCATTTTTAAAGGTTTCATTTGTGGTCTTGCTTCCCTCTCAGCTCTGTTCCATCTGACAAGTCCCCGTCCCCTGCCAGCTCTGGGAAAGCATTGCATTTCAGGATGTGAGGCATTAGTCTGTATCTAAATAGTCTGTTACATGAGCTGTGATTCAGACCTTGAGCTGGTTTAAGTTTGTGTGTTGAAATGAATGGAGCCATGCAGATTTTCACTGGCTCGGGATCTGTTCTTTTGTGTGTTTGTTAAAAGCAAAGGGTCTGATTCACCAGTGAGGTTCTCCCTCTCAGGGCATTTTCACCAGCATAGCACCGGAGTGATGCAGTTTAAATTAATTGCACTTATATAAATCACAGGAGCGTAAGCAGTTAGCCCACTGGCTGAGCTGATTGAAGGATGTTAGGAATTGGATGGAAGGCATGTTATTACATGGTCCTGAAAGGATATTAGCAGCACATACTACCTGAGTGAGGTCTGCTGTCAAAAAAAGGGAGAGTCTGCGTGAGGAGTGGGTGAGTCAGAGCAAACAGGTGTTCTGGGTGTTTACGGCAAATGTGGATGAGAGGGCACTTGGAGACGTGTGGCATCCATCCCCGTGCAGGAAAGGCAACACAAAGGTCGAGTGCAGAATACAGGAGGCTTCCCCTCCTTGGAGGAGCCAGGGAGGTGTGGAGGGTGGCGGGTGACTCTGATTGATGGTCACACTGCCTGCGGGCAAAGCCTTGCACCCACCTATGAAAAATCAGGCCTACAGCTTCCCTCTCACATTTTACAAGTAGTCTGGTCTTTTAGGGATTCTTTATGTTTTTACTTTGAAAGCTCATGTAAAGCTGTCTTGTTAATGCCACTGTGCTGCTAATTGCCACTCTGCAAAGTGCGTAGGAAATGATCCAAGCAATTCTGCTGCCTGAAACCTTGGCATGTGCTTTGCAGCAACTAAATGATTAGGACCAGAGCTTCAACCTTACAGCAGAAATGGCCTTTTTTTTTCTTTTTTTCAACATCAGGACACTTGTTCCTGTGCACAGATAACAAACTGGGAGCTTCACTTTAGTCTCCCCATTTCAGTATAGCTCCATCAAATCCCTTTCCTAGTCAGGCTTTCTGAAAAGGGCAGTAACTTTGTTACTTTGTTTTCTGGAAATGGAAGGATGCCAGAATTAGGTTTATTATCAAAGAGGGAAGAAGAGCCCAAACTAAGCCATCAATAGCTTAGTTCTTCTCATGACAGTGTTAGTGTCCCTACCAAGAATCAATACTAGCAAGAGTGTGGATCCGAAAATGTTAAATATCTGGATAAACCACAGCGGAATCAAGAAAAACAGTTTCAGAATATTAAATAAGTTATGTTGGATCACTGTTCCCATATTTCTCAGGCAGTGCTCTTAATAATTTTGACTGCCACCGAGTCCATGGAAGGCAGCACGGTGAGGTTTGGAAGAACCCCCAGGAGGCACTGAGCCCAGCGGAGCTTACCAAAAATAGCTCTGGAGGTTTATTGATGCAGGTGACGACTTCATCCTGGAAGAGGTAGAAGCTCAAGTAACTCACACCTACAGAATAGCTCTTGTAATTCATAAGCCTCCTACATTTCAAAGGAAAGTGTGAAATGGTTAATATGGGAAAAAGAAAGGTGGGTTTTCAATAGTCAGTTGAATGTGGAACATATCAACTCAGCTTCAGTGTTGCCCTATGCTTTCATATTTTCCTCTTGGTGCCAGCTGATATGTCCTGGAAAGTAAAGACATGGTGTGACTTTCAGAAGCGGGAAAACTTTAGTAGCACTAGAAACTGAGAAGTACTTCAAATGTGATTAGATTGGATGCCAGAGGGAAATAAACCCAAAATTTGTTAATTTGTTAACAGAGTAGAGGTAAAACAATTAGGCAAGGGTATTCTCTTCCATCACCACAACATATATGCCTTAATAAATTTTGAAACAAATGCTAAGCACACCTTTTCTTTCACATTTTGATCTTTTTTCCAAATACTGACCTGAACAATCAGCAGAAATGGCAGCAAATTTAATGAAGGATTTTTATGAAGTGATGTCAAGCGCCAGTCTTTTAGGTCCTAAGTTCGATAAGGTCACAATAAATCTGTGCATTTTAGAAGATTTTCTCCAGTCAAATAAAAAATCTTGACATTTTGAATGTTTTGCACCAGTAAATATATTTTTTCTAAAATCAGTAACTGTGCCAGAGTTTAGACATATTTAAGAGATGGTGATTGAACAGCAAAAGTCTGATTCAGTCAGAAATTTCCAATAAGTCAAGGCCCTTTGAAGTGTCTCTTAAAGATCTAAGCCTCTCTATATTTTATATATATATCTATATGAAAATAATTTTCCTTAAATACAAACTTCCATTTATTAATGGATGCAAACTGGTTCCTTTTGGATCAAGCAGTTCAAACAGTCCTGGCTTCTGCGTGCCACTCTCCTTCACACCTGTGCAGCTTCACCGACTTAAGAGGGGTCATTTTGGAGTCAAATTAGCCCATAATGACGGAAGATGGTCATAGTTCAATTTTCCTACATTGTTTCTCCATGAAGATATTTTTACAATGGGCCAAATTCCCCTGTCATTCCCATCTGTAATATCTCCACTGGCTGCAGCTGACCTATCTCAGATTTACTCAAGCAGAACTGAGATGCGATTCTGGTGCAATGAATACAGCCCTGTTTATGTGTGCAGTGCTGTAACAAGTATTGCTTACCCAAAATTGTGTCACACCCCAGCCCAGGCCGTCGCACTCTGGAAAGCAACGCCGACCTTCCCCTACGCCGCTGCGTTATTCATGCGAGGAACAAAAGGCTTGCGAGCGCTGCCCTCGGGATGCAGGGAGCCGGGCGAGGGCTCGCACGGCGTTATGTGGTTGGAAGGAGCCACCTGCTGGGCACAGCCCTGCAGGGACAGGGATGCTCCGCGGAGCCAGGAGCGGGCCAGCCGCCCCACCGTGTGGCCAGCCCGGGAAACGGGGATGCTGCGGGCAGCGGGATGGATCACCGCCCTGCTGGCTGCTGGGGGCTCTGCGAACAGAAGGACAGGCCGCCAGCAGCGGCAACCAGACGGCTAAATCCCTTCCCCACCTTTTTCTACTGCCGTCTGTGACTCGTGTAGCTTTTCATCGTTATTGTTCGCTGCCTACGGCAAAGTGAGACACGAAGGCATCATATGAGATTGACTGCCTGCTCTGGATAATGCATGTCTCTGTGCGTGTGTGTGAGCACCCAACAGAGATCACAGGATGGTTTGTGTTGGAAGGGATCTTAAAAATCATGTAGTTCCAGCCCTCTTGTCATGAACACATTTCACTAGACCAGGCTGCTCAGATCCGCATCCAGCCTGCTCTTGAATACTTCCAGGAAGGGGGTATCCACAGCCTCTTTAGGCAACCTCTTCTGGTTATATTAAAAATTTCTTCCTAATAGCTAATCTAAACCTAGTCTCTTTTATTTTGGGGCCATTTTCTCCCTTGTCCTATCACTATAAAACTCTCTAAAAATCCCACTCTTTCTTGCAGTCTCCTTTTAGGCACGGAAAGGCTGCTCCAAGGCTGCACAGGGCCCTCTCTAAATGCTTATTTGTCATGTATTGTACATTATACATACCACATTGCAGTCTACAGCATCCCACCAGGGGAAGCGGAGTGGCAGACACTGATCTCTTCTCTGTGGTGACCAGTGACAGGACCCGAGGGTCTGAATGGCCTGAAGTCATGGCAGGGGAGGTTTAGGTTAGATGTTACTAAAATGTTCTTCACTTGGAGGGTGATTGGGCACTGGAACAGGTTCCCTAAGATAATGCTCTCTGCACCAAACCTGACAGAATTCAAGAAGTGTTTGGACAATGTCCTCAAGCACATGATGTGATTTTTGGGGCAGTCCTCTGCAGCATAGTTAGTATTTCTGTTTCAGTAGAAAGTCATCCTTTTGCTGTGTAAACAGAAGATGAGAACTGCTAGATTTGCTGCAGTGTCACTCTTCTGCTTCTTCCTGGGGCCTAAGCACCTTTTGCAATCCCTGCTGCTTAGAACAGCAGTAGTGCCACAAGGCTGGTTCACCACCTGAATTGCCTATCCTTCATTCCCTCTCTAACTTCATCTATTGCTTATACACTGGATTGTAGGCAGATGCTGCACTTGGCTATTCTTATAACTTCTTACATTGACTTTAAGAACTTTGTCTTTCTCAAGGACCATTTGGAAGTTCCCAGGGCCCCAGAGACTTCTGACAGTGCAGATCTCTCTTCTCCTGAGAACCAGCTTCTTTGCATTTAGACTAGTGCTCTGCTCCTGGCTCTGTTAAGCTCGATAAAGACATCCTCTGCTATCTTCTTAGACAATAATTGTTGCCAGCTGCAGGCCTGGTGTCTGAAAGTCCTGTTTTGTCTTTATCTGTTATCGCTGCACTAGCTTTGAGGGCAGGCTGATGTCTGGAGCCTTTTTTTTTTTTTTTTCCTTCAGCAGTACCTGGCAAAAGATGTAGTGCAGATTGCAAGGGACTGGGTGGTTCAGCATGCCAGAACCTATTTTCAACATTGCAAGCAGAGTCTTTTTTAGTTCCAGACAAATCA